AGATAGTTTGGCTCGAAGTTATGGCAGAGGTCACAGTTAAATTACACGCCTTATAAAAAGTGCTTGTGGCAGCCTACACAGCACTAAGAGAAACAGAGGAGCTAACCCAAGCTCAAGCCATAACACTTCACACTCCTCTCCCAATTATTAAGCCCATATTGGAGGGAAAGGAGTTGCCACTGGGAATAGCCCAAAGGAAAATGACTGTCCAAAGATGAGCGCTCTATTTACACCACAGACTTTGCTGCAGCATGGATGTTGTAAAAACCCTATGCTAAGAAGTTTAAAATTAGTAATAGCTGACTGCAATAACACATAGTCAGATTTACCTACTGAAAGGAATCAGGAGGTGTGTGTGGAGCTAATTGGAAAGCCCACCCTCCTTACCAAATTAATACTAGATAAACCTGTGTCATTGGGAAAAGTCATTTAGCAGAAATCAGGATGTATCATAAGAGGAAAAAGCATGTGAAGGTAAAAAGTGAACTCCGAGGGAGTGTGGAAAGAATTAAGCGATTGTTGTAATATGTGAAGGGAAACCTGCTTTAAAAATTACACCTCGTTTCTTTGCAGCCTCTTTCTTAAGCACTGTGCAAACCATCTAGGCAAAGAAACAATCAAATGTAAACATTTGTCTATGGATACTTTTGTTAAATCTGCAAAGAAAAATTAGGTATTCTACTGAAACTTAATTGGTTAACTGCATAAAGAATGAGCTCTATATATTGTATCTTTATTTTGTAGGTTTCAAATGAACTAGTTTTATTTTGTTTTAGATAATGTCCTCTTGCTTAAAATTGCAAACAGACAAAGTACAAATTGGTTAGTGCTTGTGTTGGGCATTCAACTTTTAAGGTTAAATTTGCTCTCTAAGAAAACCAAGTTATTGTTTTAAGAAATCCAAACTCTGAAACTTCACTGTGTCTATGTTCAAGGCTGAGTTGATAATATCTTTGGCTTGCTCTCAGATCCAAGGTTGTAAGTGGGTGCAGACTGCCTGTCTGTTCTGAAAAGGTTTAAAACCAACTGTCCCTCATAAGTAAGCCTGTAACATTGTACATATGATTCTTTTTAGGAAAATAAAAGCTTTTTGCTTGCAGGAACAGTAACTGGCCAACCAACATCTTGTGGTAAGGAAAAGCATTATAGCTTCACACATTAAGCCTGATCTGTGGTACAAGAGGGAAACTGAAGCATGCCACTGTTAGGGAGGGCTAGCAACTCAGAGATAATTCGAGGGAGTGGAAGGTCACGAGTACCGATAAAGCGCCCTTGTTCTAGGAAAGTTGTAGCTCACTCGCCCATAAAAGTGTTAAGGAACTAGCTGTAACAGGTTCCCCTAACAGATCTTAGGCAGTATTTTAAGTTATAATAGACCACCCCGATGGGGGTAGAGATGTTTTCTTGTCTTTCAGATCATCAAAAAGTGCTGGTGCCAGCTGAAGAAAAACAACAAACAACAACAACAACAAAAACCATGGTTCTGTGTCATGACACAATAAGTTTGTGTTCTGTCCAAGTTTGTCTTGTGTGTCTTAATTGTAATAGGCCCCTCTGCGCTCGGGCTCCGTGGGTGCCATTCCCCTGCCCCACTGCAACTTCTGGGAAGGAGGAGGAGAGGCAGCAGGGTGCAGAAGCTGCTCCCCTCCTTCTCCCCCTGCTCCTGCTCCTGTTCCTGCACCAGCCGGAGCCCTCCCCAGCCCACCCGC